TAAAACTATTTAATAATCTGCTTAAAATATTATAGAATTGCCAACAATATTACTTTTCCGACAAAAGATTATCCTAGAAAGAAAGGTTTCTTACCCGGTAAAATTTAGGGAAGAGATACCTCCTTTCTTGTTTATGACTAGTATTACAGCTTGACTATCTCAAACTTAGATTGGAGGAAGGCATAGTCACAGCATGCTAAGGAGAGCCTTATTTTATTTTATTTTATTTTGCTTTCTTTTGTTATTCTTTAAAGTATATTTATTTATTTTGAGAGGGAGAGCATGTACGAGGGGCAGAGAGAGAGAGAGAGAAATTGAGAATCCCAAGCAAGCTCTGCACTGTCAGTAGGGAGTCCTATGCAGCGCTGGAACTCACAAACCCTGAGATTATGAGCCGATGTGAAATCAAGAGTCAAATGCTTAGTAGTAACTGACTGAGCCATCCAGGTGCTCCTGAAGAGCATTTTAATGCATACTAGGCACAAACAGGGCAAGGGAACCAAATATGATGCATTCAACCACTGCAACAATCCCACACTTCAAATAGGTAGTGGAGTTCTTAAATCAGATCCTATCCCACTAAAGAAGTACATATGTGAAATATGCGCTATAAGATTTTATTATTTGTTGGGGCGCCTGGGTGGCTTAGTCGGTTGAGCGTCCGACTTTCGCTTAGGTCATGATCTCGCGGTTTGTGGGTTCGAGCCCCGCATCGGGCTCTGTGCTGACTGCCAGCTCAGAGCCTGGAGCCTGTTTCAGTCTGTGACTCCCTCTCTCTCTGACCCTCCCCTGCTCACGCTGTCTCTCTCTCTCTCTCCTAGAAATAAATAAAACATTAAAAAAAATTAAAAAAAAAAAAGATTTTATTATTTGTGAACTATTCTTTATTGTAGAAGTTACACATACCCACTGAGAAAATGTAAAAGAATCTACAAAGAAGTATATTAAAAAGTATATGTTACCCATAAGCCCACCAATCATCCAATCATAACCATTTCTAATATTTTGATGTATATTGTTCCATAATATTTTCTATGCATACATATATGTATATATAAATATCTACACACATTATTTTTAAATTAGATGCTCTGCAAGTTATGTTTTGTAACACTTCCATTCCAGTAAATATATGATTGACTAATATTTGGAAGATATTTTATTTCTTCTGCATGCTTTCAAAGGTTTGTCTAATTTTTCTAAATCTAATTAATATGTGTCTATTAAATATAAAATGTAAGTATATAAATGCAACACTTAAGAAGTAAAAGTTGCCTTTATATTAAATACTCATTCTTAAAGATATCCTATGGGAATAGCTCAGTATATATTCATTCACATTTCTAGTCTGATATAAAAATACAGTAAGAACCCACAATAACATGATTTCTGATATACAATAAAACCTTGGTTTGTTTGTGAGTATAATTCATTCTGGAAACATGCTTGTGATCCAAAGTACTTGTATATCAAAGTGAATTTCAAGAACTATTGGCTCAGTTGTGATCATGTGAAGTTCAGCATCATGTACTACTCATATTGGAAGACATCGCTCCTTTATCAAGTTAAATGTAATTAGAAATGTTTGCTCATCTTGCAGAACATTAGCAGAACAAGTTACTCGCAATCCAAAGTTTTCTTGTAATATGATGGGTGATGGTGAATAGAGACAGGGAGACATGGAAGGATGACATTTAAGCACCACTGCTGAGTAAACAACTGTTACAAGGTGGCCTCAAAACACAGCTGAGTCCCTGATAGATTTGGGTTGTGCATCCAGCTAACCAAACAGGCTCACATTAGTCATTTATTCATTTCTCAATAATATAACCTGGAATTTTATAGTAATTAATTTTGTGAACTTCAATTATTATGTTATGGTGCAGTTTTATTATATGCTCATATTTTTTAATAGTTTATTGTCAAGTTAGTTTCCATATAACACCCAGTGCTCATCCCCACAAGTGCCCTCCTCCATGCCCATCACCCTCCTTCCCCTCCCCCCTCCCCCATCAGCCTTCGGTTTGTTCTCTTGTACTCGGCATTCAAGAGTCTCTCAAAAATAGGGGCACCTGGGTGGCTTAGTCAGTTAAGCATCTGACTCTTGATCTCGGCTCAGTTCATGATCTAATAGTTCCTGAGTTGGAGTCCTGCATCTGGCATGGCGCTGGCAGCAGGAGCCTGCTTGGGATTCCTTTCTCCTTTTCTCTGCCCCTCTCCTGCTCTCTCCAAAATAAATTAAGAAACTTAAAAAAATAAATGCACAAAAATAAATATATGTATGTTGTTACAGAAATGTAGTGCTGCATATATTAACTTTCAGTTTATTTTAAAAAATGTTTATTTATTTATTTAGAGAAAAAGAGAGAGCACAAGTGGGTGAGGGGCAGTGAAAGAGGAGAAGACTCCCAAGCAGGATCCTCACTGTCAGTGTGTAGAGCCTGACACGGGGCTCAATCTCATGAAACATGAGATCATGACCTGAGCCAAAATCAAGAGTCGGATGCTTAACTGACTGAGTCCCACAGGCACTCCTAAATTTACCTTTTTTTAATGTGTGTATACATTAAAAACGTCATCAAATTAAATGTATATGTATGTATAATAATGTTTATTTCTATTTCTAAATGGTACACACTAGGTATAGTTTGAATTGTTTTAACAGAATCATGAAGTTTGTCTTCTTTATTCTCTATCACAATTATATGGAAAAATGCTTGGCTCATGAGACTGTGCACACACATGTGCAAATGTGCATGTGTTTGTGCACAAGCTTGGGTAAATGTCTGCCATTGCCTAGGACAATCCTTGCTTTCTGTTCCTTCATTGCTGCTTTTCACTTGTGGCTTCTCTTTGTACGTTCAAGTCCAAGTCAAAGGATTGAAGCTAGGAATCCAGATCTATAAACTTTGGTATTATAAATCATTGTGACTACCATTAAATCCTTTCCTAGGAAGAATACCTAAGAATTGTTTTACAGGCTGAAGGGAATGCATATTTTATGTACTTAGCAATTGCTAAAGTATGTACTTTCCAGAAAGGTTGACCAATTCAGGTTCCATGACCTAGAAGTAAGTGAAAATGTCCTTGGGGTTAAGTGCAAAACGTGTTAAAAAGTGCTTACACTGAGCCTGGTTTCAGGTGATAACCATCATCAAAAGACTTAACCTAAGTCCTCCTAAGGAGAAACAAGTGAATTTCTACCCAGCAAGGCAGCATGAGACAGACCAGGGTGATGGTGAGAACACAGGGTCTAGGTTCAGTCTGAATGTTCTCTTCTTTCCTTCCCACCCTTCATTTAGGTTCTGCCCACCCTCTGAGGCTCATGTCAAGGTCTTTTTCCTCCTTGAAGCTTTCTCTGACTATTCTGCGCTAACTGGCCATTGCCTTCTCTGAGTACCTGTTGGCCTGGCTGTCCATCCTTTCCTTTAAATTCCTCGAAAGGAATCTCATGTCTCATGTGAAGGATGTTCTGCCTTTTCAGTAATGGGGTCATAGCTGAAGAGACTGACAGTTTACTGCAAAAATAAAATCCCCTTTTTAAAGGGATTTAATCAGTCTTGGGGCCCTGCAGACCTCCTTTGATTCTGCCTGTTATCAGTTCTGGGGTGTCAGCAGTCGGTGCCGGTCTCTGCAAGATCTCCTTTAACTACTTGCAGTACCTTTAACTACTTGTGTCATTGCTTGACACCTGGCTCCTGCTTGACACAGGCTCCTGCTTGACATGAGAGACTCCATTTTGCTCTCTACACTTACTAAGGGTCACACAGTCAGTTCTAGGTCTTTCCTGGGACTAAGGTATCCTGTCAAGCCAGTGTTCTGTCTGGGAGACCCAACCTATTATATATCGGGTTTTCTGGTACTCAAATAAATACACATGCTCCCCACAAGATAGAATAATGTGAAAGAAGAGTAAGTGAAATACAACAGCATGAGGTTAAAGTTTTCTTCATTCCACATAATTTATTGAGCTCTTCAGTCTGCCTCACAAAGGGGCACCAAACCTTATTAAAGAAAATACATGTATGTCTCCTCCTGTTATTTTTTAAATGTTACCTCTGAGAACTATGTAATTTTTATTGGCAACTATTTTCTTTTTGTGACTTAAAATAAGGACTGAAGTGAGTCTGAAAGGTAATCAATATCTGTTGAAGACTATATGAGCCAAGTGCTTTGAGCCAAGTTATCATTTAGAATTTCCAAAATTCAGTTCTGTGAGGCATATGTTATTATTCCCTTTCAGATGAGGACATTTTGGATCATAATGTGTACCTGACAATTGATGATTCGGTAGGCAGCACAACTTCCTGGCAAATACTACTTCCAGGGCTCTGGAGCCAAATACTACTTTCTTTTTAAAAATTTTCAATCATTTCCCCCAAATGAAATCTTAATATAATAATGGCTTGCACTTTTAGAGCACTTACAATATGCCAGAAACTACTCTCAGGACTGTACATGTGTTCATTCATTTAAATAATTTTGTCTTTGTCTTTTCCAACTATAAAAATACATGTTACTTTTGTTTTAATAAAAGAGAATATAAAAGTATTAAGAATAAAGTGAAAACTACATTAAAAAACCTCACTCCTGTCCCAGGCTACTTTTTTTTTTTTTTTTTTTTACAAACCTCTGCCAAACCAACCTTGTTCACAACAGCCAAGGACCAGACTGCATATGAAATGGAGGCTGGAGGAGGGGCGATGGATGCAGGAATTCTTAATCCTGGGAGCTAAAGGCACGAAGCGACAATGCTTAAAAGAAGTAGAAAAGTTAGTAGCTCCAGAAAAGAAAAAAAAAAAAAAAAAAGATGCAGCCCTTCCCCCCTTCCCCAGTAGTCAGAGAAAGGCGAGTAACGTTTTGGCCTTTCGGTTAGGCAACAATAACAAAGGCCAGATATATAAAGGGGGAGGAGGCAGAGGGCGGACCCACTTATGCCGCGCTTTTGGTGGGAGTGGAGATTGGGACCTGTGCTCACTGGTGACGTAGACCTCACGTGACCAGGAGTCGACGTGTACAGAAGTCCTGCTAGTCTGGTCCTTGTTCGCGTCTGGGTACCAGCTTTCCTTCAGCAGTGCAGACGGCAGAGCCTGAGGCCAGTAGAAAGAGGACTCAACTTGTCAGAATTTTGCAGGTTGGTGTCAAAATAGGTGCTGCCCGGGGACTTCTAGGGTGGAAGTGGCCTAGGGCAGAGACCTGGTCAAAACCATCTCTCCACCTCCCACCTCCAAGTCTGCAGGAACTGATGACCATTGGGAGAGGGACTATGGGTCCGGGGAGAAGGACAAGGAGAACTGTGATAGCTTAAAAATAATCATTCTGTGCCGCTTTAGGCCACTTTCCCAACATTTACCCTCCCCCCAACCCCTGCCTCGGTCTTAAAGATAGTTTGGAAATAATCTGCTTTTCTTACCCCTTGTCTGATGGGAAATTCGAGCTAAGTTGCACTGTGCGGCGGGGGGTGGGGTGGGGAAGAAGTGGAAGAAGGTGGGAAAGTTTTCAGAACCATGTACCTTAATGAGGAAAAATGTACAAGGTGCTGGTCGGCTCACCAAGCGCTCGCCCCTCCCCCATCTCCACTCTTACCCCGTCTCCAACCCTTCCCACTCCCCTCCCGTTTCCGGTTTGTCCGCAGGTCTGTTATTCCTAGCACTACACAAAGCTAGAAAAGGCGAGGAAGAAACCGTTCGGATCAGTACAAGTAGGTGAGGGAAATATAAATACCCCTGGTGTTGAGATGGGATGTGCGCATGTCAGATGTTGTGGGCCTCACTCTTCCTACCGCCCGCCTATTCTACCAACCTACTCGTCTGTCCTAGGAGGGTCATGTATTTTGCCCAGCATGGAGAAATGAAATGGTGGGGGTTGGGGGGGAAATGGGGCTTGAAAAAAAAGTCTGGAGGGAGGGACAAGAGAGAGGTACGGAGGTGTAAAGTGGAGGGACAAAAGAGGTAAGGAGGTGGAAAGTGGAGGTATGAGCCATAGGCTCAGGGAAACTCTGATTGCTGATTGAGTCTCCCAAGTGGAAGATATTTGATGATAGCTCTGAATCAAAGAAAGCAAATGCTGAGACCTCTGTCCAGAGCAGTGGTCCATTCACCAAGTGTTTGACTTAGGGTCTCCTTGCTTCCTAGCAGTAATTGTATTCAAAGAGGAATAAACCAGTGAAAAAAAGGAAAAGGAAAGAAGGAAGAGAGACTCACAAGATGAAACCCTGTCAAAAAACTGAAGGAAAACCAGAAAATGAGAGTGAATCAAAGTTTGAGGAAGAGCCAAAGCCTGAGGAAAAACCAGAGTTGGAAGAAGAGCCAGAGGAGAAGGAAAAAACGGAAGGAACTTTTAGAGAAAGACTGATTCAGTCTCTCCAGGAATTTAAAGAAGATATACACAACAGGCATTTAAGTAAGGAAGATATGTTCAGAGAAGTGAATGAAATAGATGAGATAAGGAGAGTAAGAAACAAACTTATAGTGATGCGTTGGAAGGTTAACCGAAACCATCCTTATCCCTATTTAATGTAGTTTGCCTTGATTTTAATTTTTTTCTGATATTAACATTGTCGTATAGCTTTTCTTTGATTTGCATTTTCCTGATACACCTTTTTCCATCCATTTTTAATTTGTTGCTATTACTGACTTTAAGTGCATCTCTTGTTAATCTGCATCTCACTGTTTATCATATTTTGAACCAATACAAAAGTCTCTGCCTTTTAATAAGAGAGCTTTACTCATTTGTACCTAAAGAGGTTCCTGACAGCATATAAAATGAAAAAAAATTACTAATATGTGAATATCATATTTTTGAAAGCAAGAATACATTTGTATAATACCTATATGCAAAGAAAAATGTGTGAAGGGTGAAAATACAAAAAGTATAGTTAGTGGCAGGATTATGAGTAATTTTTTATTATGCTTATTTGTATTTTTCCTTACTCCTAGAATGTACACACATTATTGTTAAAATAATAAAAGTTTTATAACAAAAAAGTAGTAACCAACAGTATTTAATCTATTTCTAAAGACACTGGGACACTTAATATTTGTTGACAGAATTTTAGAAGCAAATGTGTATTCCAAATTACCACCAGACCACTTAGCTAGAAGAATAATAAATTTTATGTCTTATCTGTAAAATAGAGACAATGATCTCTAAGGGCTCATATGAGGACCAAATAAGGTAATGACTGTGAGCTCTATTTTATGTTTTTTTTTTCCCCATTTGTCCATGCAGGATCCCATCTCCCAAGGTATTTGTATCAGCTACTTGGGATGATGGAGAAAATAGTTCTCACCTGTACTTAAGAATAAATCCAGTCAACTGTTAGGTGGGTGCCACCTTGATGCTCCTTTCCTTCAGTGGCTGCCCAATGTCCCTTTATTCTCCCCTTGATATTGTCATGTATATTCGGTAATTCTGCCACTTCACCCAGGCCCCTACCTATGGGCTGATAACGTTCAGAAATTCTCAAATAGTGAAGCCCAGCGTATTTCTTTGGAACCCCTAGTGGGCTGAATCCTCAGTCCTACAGGAGTGGTTATGCAGGGTAACTTGGGCCATGATACCTTGTAGGTATCTTGACAGTTTGAGGAATTTAATCACAGGCTCCCATTTCCCCCTTAAGACTCTGACACAATGCGTTAATTTGGGGATTGGGCAGGAAGACAAGTCTGAGTAACAGATGTTATGCTTTAGTCAGAATTGCTTCTCTTTGAGCCTAAAGATTATGGTTTTATCTTCTCTCTCTTTCCTTTGGGTGAGTGATCTCTCCCAGAAGACTGGTGCCAGGCCCTCCTCACCAGTTCAACAGATGCCTATACATAGAGATGTATATACATACAATGGTATATTATTCAGTCTTAAAAAGAATGAAATAAAAATGAAATTATTTTTTAAAATTTATTTCTGAGAGAGAGAGACAGCGCGAGCAGGGGAGGGTCAGAGAGAGAGAGAGAGATACAGAATCTGAAAGAGCCTCCAGGCTCTGAGCTGGCTGTCAGCACAGAGCCCGACACGGGGCTCTAACCCAAGAACCATGAGATCATGACCTAAGCCGAAGTCGGACACTCAACCGACTGAGCCACCCAGGTGCCCCTAGACTTGTATAAATTTTAAACGGAGGTTCTGTTTCAGATTCTGTGTCTCCCTCTCTCTGCCCCTCCCCTGCTCACACTCTGTCTTTCTCTCATAAATAAACATTTAAAAAATTTTTTTAATGAAAGGGAAGTTCAAGTCAGATTTGGGGATACTATCATCCTTAACTGGAAATGTGAACGTGCTATGTAAGACTATGTATATCTACATCCAAATCTATATACCTATATAGTTATCTATATATGTATACATGGCTCACACTTTTTCTGGTTGTGTCTTATTTTTCCTCTGTGACACTCATTTTCGGGCAATTCATGACTTCAGATTATTCTTCAAAGTTGTAACAGTCCAATGGATGCTAGTCAGGCTGGATTTTGACTGGAGTAAGAAGCTTCCAGGGGCTCACTACGCCAGTTTTATAAGACAAGATGAATCCAATCCCCAGGCACCCAAAGGTGTGGTACTCAGGTAGGATATAGAAAGTCTCATCCAAATCACACTCCTCTCCAGGGTGGGTCTGACTTTGGTTTCTCTGCTTCAGATGAGGCCGGCACTAGACTCTTCTCAGCTGATGACCAGGTTGTTCTGGATATACTTACCTGTAGGATGACAACAGTCCCCATAGCAGGTCAGAGCACTAGACTTCCTTTCTTCCTTTCTTTTTCCTTCACAAGGGGACTTGATGAGAACTTTTTATAAGGAAGAAGACCTCGAAATTGACTAAATAAAAGCATTGGTTTTGACAGTGTGTCCCAGCTATGACAACTGTGGATGCAATCACGTTGGGGTTAGAGGATCTGGTGGTAGGTGGGAATGATTTTAGATAGCACACAAATAGATTAAATTGTGATATCCATGTGTTTATTTGAATGTATATTAATGAATACTTTGTTTCAGGCAAATGATGATGGTATAGATTTAGGGTGGTGTTATAAAGTTTCCTTTTAAAAAAATATTCAAATTAAGTTAGTAAGTCAATTTGAAGACAGACCTGAGATAGAAGACAGACATGAGATAGAACACAATACTAATAGCAGAGGTGGTACACAGATGTGTGCAAAAATCATCTTAGTGGGAAACATTGCCCTAGCATAACTTATTTACAGATAATATCTGGAAACACCTATCAAGAATTATGCTATCTGAGATTTTACCCTACTTACAAATTAAAAATTTATTCTGCTACTGTTTAATGGATACTGGCAGAAAACAACTAGAATCCTAGGTCAAAGATGGTATTACTCGTGGCAAAAGCCATAGCCAGAGCTTCATATGGATTTGTATTAGTTCTCCATGCTCTTCAAGTTCCATGGGGTGACACAGGCCCTTTTATGGATGTCTGCACATGCAGTGCTTTCTGTAACAGGAAAGAAACGTATTTGGAGAATTTATTACTTTTATGGTAAACAGAAACAACCATGCTCTGTGTCCAGGAATAGATGTTAACTTGTTCTTCAAGTTGCTTGTTGCAAACACAACTCTGACACATGGCCTGCCTGCGTAGAGTAGTAGAGTGGTCAGGGTCTTACATTCTTTGTATACCAAATAAAAATGTGCAGGGATGCTCAGAATTCAAAGCCGATTGACTCTCCCAGTAACAATTTTCTCTATGCAGTAAATTTTAATGTGAATGGCAAGCCTTTCCTAGCATCACAAATTTGGATTCATAATTACAAGATAAAGTAGATAATGCATTATACTGTAGAGTGTCAACACGGCATTTGTAACTTTCTAATTTTTACTTAGTACATAGGATTTTAATGAATCCAAATTAACTAAAAAAAACAACTAAGAAACTAAAAGTAAATAGTCTATGAGGAACTTTAACGTTACAATAAGACATAGCTACCATGATGCAAAAGATAAAAGTAAAGGGGCAAGACCACTGGATTTATTAGGATGCTAATGACAGGAGTAATCTTATGAAAATTTTTTTCACTGAGAAACTGACAGGAGACTGTGTGTTTGAAAGCCACACTCAACTCCCATACACACATACTCATCATTGCCTCTATAAAAGGAAAAGGCAAATCCAAGAGAAAAACTGGCCTGTTTCCTTTACAAGGAAAGTTCAAGATAGGGTAAGGGTTGAGAAATGTGGGGCATCTCACACATAACAGTGTCCAAAAGCAGTTATTTGATTCTCTGACACCAGCATTTCACAAAAGCCTTAGGAAAAACAGCTGCATCATTTGATGAATAATTTAGTTGGGTATGGAACATCATTTTGTGTACTATTGGCCATTTGTTCATTTTACTTTGAGAAATGTCTATTCAAATATGTTGCCTGCACCCCACCCCAATATTTTCAGTATAGGGTGGGTAAAGAATCTTCAAAGAAATAAGGGAGATCCATATGTACTACACATTCACTATGCTGTGATTAAAAGGAAAATGAAGGACAGGAGATACAGTATAAGAATACATACACACATATACATACTCATACCCACAAATATCAAAATGAAGCCCTTTAGCTCACTAAAGGGAGTGATCATGTCTTTTTAAGTGGCATTTTGATATCTCACCAAGCCTCCCTATCTGGCTTTTTAATACATAATTATTTTAAAAAATTTCTCCTAATGGATAATTGTACTATCCTTACTTTGTAATGGTCTTTTTCTTTTTCTTTTTTTTTTTTTTTTGGACCTAAAGTCCTTTTCCCTTCCATGAACTCTGAGTCCTTTCCAGATGTTATATCATTAGCCTACTACTTAATAAAAAATGAACGTGAAGCTAAGAGAAAGCATCTTGGCCAAGGTCACCCAGCTATTAAATGCAATTCCTGCCTAAGATCAAAGCCCTTGCTCCTACTATCTACTCTGTAACAGTTGGTATTTAATAAATAGTAACAACAACAACATCATCCAACATCATTGTGGTGCTGAAAGAATTCCCGTTATTTCCTCAAAGGTCCATGCCTTTTTGAGTCCTGATCTTGCTTCCCATAGCTCTCCCTGACTGAAACATTCTCTCAATCATTTCTCACACACTTAACCTGGATAAGCCCTACTCATCTATCTCAGAATAGATGTTACTTATTTATTGAGATATAATTTACATACCAGACAATTCACCTACTTGTATACTTGTATACAAGTAGTATATACAAGTATACTGAATTGCATACAATTCAGCGGTTTTATGATATTCAGTTATGTGGACTATCACCATAGTCAATTTTAGAACATTTTCAAGTCAAAAACAAACACTATACCCTTAGCTATGACCCTTCTTCCCCATGCCTCTATCCCTCCGGCTTTAAGTAAATACTAATCTACTTACTGACTCTACAGATTTCCTTATCTTGGACATTTCATAAGAGTGTGTTTATATAAAATGTCTTTGTGACTGGCTTCTTTCACTTAGTATATGTTTTCAAAGTTCATCAATTGTATAGCAAGTGTGTCTTCTTTCTTTTTATGACTGAACAATATTCTATTGTATAGATATGCCACATTTTGTTTATCCATTAATCCATTGATGGATATTTGGTCTATTTATATCTTTTGCTTATTATGAATAGTTCTGCTATGAACAAGTTTTGTGAGGATGCATGTTCTCATTTCGCTTGGGTAGATAGCTAGGAATTGAATTGTCGGGTCATACAGTAACTCTATGCTTAATTGTTCCAGGAAATGCCATACTGTTTTCCAAAATGGCTGACCATTTGACATTCCCATCAGCAGTGTGTAAGGGTTCCAATTTCCCCATATTTTTTTTTGTTTGTTTCTGATCAGCTTTTATTTATTTTATTTTTTTTTACAAATAGTTTATTGTCAAATTAGTTTCCACATAACACTCAGTGCTCATCCCCACAAGTGTCCTCCTCCATGCCCTTCCCCCCCCCACATCCATCAGTCCTCAGTTTTTGTCAGCATTCAAGAG